AGGACTACTGTTTGCTAGTATACCTTTGATCCTAGCAGCCCATTATGCCAGTGACAACTTTCAATGGCAACAAGCTCTTTTTGACTATTTTAGAGCTGGCAATTCAAGCCCAAACCCGTTAATAAGCCCAAACCTGCCCATAATAAATGGGTTTGGATAATTTTATTTATGTAAATGGAATGTATTTGGGTTATTACAAATATACTTGTTTTTATTTGGGCTTAAATGGGTTGAGTAAGGGCTGATTTGGAAAGTTGGTTAAAAACTGATTTTCTTGACTTTTTTTATTATTTTTTTTAAAGAAATATATAAAAAAATAGAGAGATGATATGATTAAAAATAAATTAAAAAGCTGAGTTTTAACTTTTAGCCATCTTCCCAACAAGGCCTAAGTTAACTCATTGGACACCCAACTAAAAAAGGTAATAACCCATAAATTCCATTGCTTGCGTCCTGAGTTGAACCAAAGAGAGACAGTATCCAACCCGCCCATATCCAACCTGCTATCTAAATGGATGATTTTGGGCTAACACTCTTTTGATCCGTTACCCATTTAAACTTGCCCAAACACGCCCATTTGCCATCTCTAGACTATTTTGATTATGGCAATATTTTCAGATCTTGGTATGGAGAATTTTTACTTAAAACAGTTAAATCAAGATATAACTTGAAATCTTTATTCAACAGCAAACAGAAACATGAACAGTCATTATTCACGAACTAGATTAATTGTTTGGATATATTGTTTCAACAAGAAACATGTTTGTTTTTTGTTTGATGAAATGCCTCAATGAGTTCTCTACATAAAGCTAACATAGTAGGCTTGTAGTTGGTGGCCATATCACATGTTTTGAATATTTCTGTGCAAAAATTTATAATGTTAACTGTGTGGGATTGCAGGTTTTGACCATATCAATAATTTTTTTATAATAAAAAAATGCTTAGATTTTTAAATGTCTAGAAAAGGTTTTTAAAGTTGTGAGTTGCAAAATGCTATGACCATTATTTACCATAGTAGCGATGATGCTGTCCTAAAAATGTTTTACCCTTCTAATGACATTTTATAGTAGAATAGATATATATATATATATAGATTTATTCTTTCATTGAAAAGGAGAGAGGGGCAGGAACTTGTTGGGTGTGATAGATTTAGCACCTTGTAATAGATCTTATGCTTGATAGAAATATTAGATTGCATAGAGTCATCGAATGAGGTTTTATGCTTTACTGTTGCTCTTGATACTGTATTGGTGTCTTATGTTTTGCCTTTCTTGTTGCTTGTAGAGGTAAGGATTTTAAACATCTGCTTTGACTGTTACAGATATCCGGACTCGTGAGGATTGTTACAAAACATGACAACTGCAGCTCGACCTACATGGGCACCTGCAAAAGGTGGTAATGAACAAGGTGGTACTTGAATTTTCGGCCCCTCCCAAAAATACTCTTCAAGGGACATTGCCTCTCACACAACCCTAAAGCCCAGGTTGGAACTTCTGCAATTTCCACATTTTAAGGTTTATAATTCTCTTTAGGGTTTGATTGCATAATATGAATATTCTGGAAAACCATTAAGGTGGATACTATCTAATAAAAGGGATTATATGGTCTGAGGTAATGATCTCCAATTATGATCCTTAAGATGCAATTTGAGATTTGAGTCCCCTATTGTCACGCAATTTAAGCCTTTATGATTTTAAGGATTTTGATAACCCCTACCAAGAACTTCATATTTCAAATATTTGGAAACGAGAATTACAATTTATACTTGATAAATTGGCTAAGTTTTAGTTTATAATGTATAAAATGAAATCTGAGTCTTTCAATTTGAAACATCAGAAACAGTAGGTGCACTGAAGCAATTTCACTCATAGTGAGGAAATGCACTCAAAAGACTCCGATCAATGACACCTCTGCTTAGAAGTTGAAATTTTCACTTGTAGTGAGGGAATGCACTCAAAAGGTTCAGATCAATGACGTCTCTGTTTAGGAGAAGTTGAAATTTGAGGATAGCTTCTACAATAAGAGAGCTTAATAACCATGTGCTGATAAAGACGGTGATGGTCTGGCCTTGTCAACCCAATCATGATTCTTAGGGATGGGGCTTAACTAAGAAATTTGGCTTTAATTTCTTTCTGGTTCTTTACAATTTCTGCCCCTTGTCCCTTTCTCTGCCAACAGGGGGATTGTGAAAATAATTATTTGGCAAACATTTTTTAGTGAAGTGATAAACATATTTGAATATGAGGGCCACAAGTTTAGTTTTCCAGCACAAAAGACGAACACACAACTGGAGCTGGGGGTGTTCTAAAATTGAATTTGCAAGAGTTTGAAAAATATTGTGGTGGACAACTGATGTGGGTATGGGGAGCCCCTCTATTTCAAATACCAGGCGTTGTGATGTTTTTGTTTGGGTTCTGGTAGTACTTCAAACCAGGCCTATCTGTTCTTGATTATTTTTTTCTTTTTTTAATTCTTTATTTATGCGGCCATGGTAGTACTTCTATGTCATCTACATATGCATGCAGCTGTTTTTCTTTCTAACGCCTATCTACAGAACTGTTCACTGATTGGTATATTTGCTGCAGAAAGGATGGGCAAGACACTAAAGAGGAATTGCAGAAGAGGAATCTCCATGATGAGTTGGAGGAGCGGGAACGGAGGCATTTCTCATCGAAGGATAAGTCCTATATTGGTAGAGAAGTTTTTGACAACCCTTTTTGCTATATGTTTCTTCGTTTACTATTGTTGTTGTTGTTGTTGTTGGACAGTATTTTGTAATTGTTTTGTTTCAAATTATTTATGGTTGCAGACGATGGAGATCTTAGAAAAGGAGGCCACCTTCTATTGGAAGGTGAATACTACCTTCCATGCTTTGTGTACCAAAAACACTAGCTATGCATACGTAATTATTCAACTGATTTCCTACTTATTTTACAGGGGTAAGGAGAGATGCTAAAGATCGCCTCATTCCACGCAGTGTAGATGCCGATGATGCTGATGTGGAACTTAAAAGCGGCGATGGAAGGTTGTCACTCATTGCAAACTTACCTGAATTAATTCATATGTTAACAAAAAGCTTATACCAATGGCCTGATTTGTCGCTTCAATTGCGTGACTCTTCAACTTGTGGTGTGATTGTCGATTTATGCTTGATAGACCTGCTTCATTTTTTTCAAATCAGTTACTATAAAGGATGAAGTGTTTTTAAAGTATAATCTTGAAGACAATGTGCAAATGTGCATGTGAATATAGTTGAATTTTTTTTCTTTCTGTAACACTTGATTTTGTTATTACTGACGTGTAAATGTACTATTTGAATTTTGTTATTACGGAAGTATCATTATTTTGTGTTTAGTGATGATGACGATGATGAAGATGATGAGGATGACACAGAAGCTCTTTTGCTTGAACTTGAGCAGATAAAGAAGGAAAGAGCAGAAGAGAAGCTCCGTAATGTAAGTTATCTTTTGAGATATTTCCAGCTGTCTATTACAAAAATATTTAATGGTGTGTGCTTTATGGACGAAACCCAAAACTTAAAACCATGGCAAATATGTTTTTTATTTTTATTTTTTTAGTAGTAGTAGATACTGAGAGTTTATTATGAATTTGTGGTCTTGTAAGATTATTCATGATTCCACCATTGGACTTTGTTCATAACTGATAAGTCATGACTAGGGCAGTTCTAACCTTCTGAATTGTTGATTTTATATGAACTTGTTAGATCTGAACACATTGATGAGGCATATTGTGGCTGTATCCTCAAAATTGTTAATATCATGTTGACCACTTTATGGCCTCACCACTGAGCAAAATTGTTAACGGCAGTATTCCGAATACTTACCAACCATATCATGCCTCAGGATCGACAAAAGCAAGAAGAAGAGCTTAAGGTCAAAGAAGCAGAATTGGTACGAGGAAACCCCCTTCTTAATTATCCAACATCTTTTAATGTGAAAAGGAGGTCGGTTTTGCCTGAAGATCTCAACTTCCCCATGGTTCTTCATTTCTTGAGGCTCGCTTGTGAGTTTGGGTAGAGCAGTGTTCTGATATTATTATTTTCTTATTTGGCATTTGGTCAGGTGGGATGATGACGTGGTGTTTAAGAACCAGGCTCAAGAACCAGGCTCGTGGTGAGTCCAAGGCTCCCAAACGCTTCATCAATGACACCATCAGGAATGACTTTCACCGGAAATTTCTCCACAAATACATGAAGTAACTTGCCGCCATCTTTGAAGTTTCATGTTCAGTTGAATCAGATCTAGTAGCGCTCACTATTAAGAAAGAGTTTGATTGTGCAAGTATGAATTAGGTGAAGAAAACAATTAAAGAAATTGAGATTTCATTGTAATATGTTAACTTTCCATGAAATTGTCGAGAATTGATTGATTGATGTCTGTGTTCTGCCTTGGTGCAAAGCAACCATTTTTGTTGGTGAATAGTTGTTGTGTGATGAGATTCCATAGCTAAATGTTGTTTCGTTGTGTGAAATTGGAAAATAATTGCTTGATTCTCTCTATTGAGTTTCACCTCTTGCAACATTGTTGGTTAAAAAGTTGGTTTTACCTATTGCTTTCTTTTTCATTTCATTTTTTATAGATATTTTTTTGGTAGGATCATGTTGGTTGGGATTAAAAGATGGTACGACTTATCTTCATCTTTAGTTATTTATTTAAAAAAAATTTGCTTTTTAGAGCTGCCACGCCTAGACAACCTTAAAAAATAGTAACATTTTAAAAAGATTCACAAGTCAATTGTTGTTAAAAAAGTTTAAAATTTTGACTTATTTTTGCTTTTTTTTTTTTAAAAAAAAAAAAAATTTTAAATTGTATAGTCAAGATAGATTCAAAAAGTAAATATATATATATATTTATAATTTTTAAAAAGTAAACATTTCGATATAATTTTAAAAAAGTAAACCCAAAAAACCTACCAACCTTTTTTTATCCAAAATTTCACATGTTCTATTTATGGAACCAAAAAAAGAAAAAGGGATCAAATACGCTTCTACATCAACAAATATATTAAATATATCGAAAATGTACAAAATTCTTTTGAGAGCATACAACCAACAACCAAGGGAGTACATGATTGATCTCTTACTTTTTACACCATGCTCACACCATAAATAGAAAAAAAAACAAAAACAAAAACAAAAAGACTGACCTAAAGAGAAAATGAAGCCAACAAAACTTGATAAATGCACTGCCAACAGATTGGTAAAAACACATCCACTCTAAAGCAGCAATTCTGATTTTTCTTTTTTGGGTTCTAATGAGCTCAACCAACAGTGCACATGCGTTTTTGGGGCAGCAATGAACATTTTCTCAGGAAACAAGCACTAAAAGCATGCCCAGCGGCGCCCTACGTCTCACTCTCCTTTGGTTCATCCAAAACAAATTCAGCATACAAATCCTTGAGAGCAATCACAACGGTAGTTATCAGCGGTCCCATTATTGCTCCCTGAGCCATAAATTTCAACCAGTGTTAATCACAACATTTAAATCAAATCTTTACATGCCAACCAACAAAAATAATTCTTTCATTAGCGATTGTACAAAACCATTTCAAATATCAGATTAATAAACCAGTAAAATGAATAGTATTTATGAGCAAATAGAAGGAAACCAAACCAAAGTTATAAGTTAACTAACAAACAGTCATGAATACCTTTTAATCACAACATTTAAATCAAATCTTACATGCCACCCCACTAAAAAAATGCATTCATTAGAGATTGTACAAAAACCATTTCAAATATCAGATTAATAAACCAGTAGATGAAGAGCATTTATGAGCAAATAGAAAGAAACCAAAGTTATCATTGACGAACAATCAATGGAAACTTTTTAACAGAGATAACAATCAACGATAGTTGGTAATTTTTATTTCATCACAAGGAAGATTTAACTGACCGTCCTCTTTTTGTTTCACCTACCAAGGATTCAACGCCTTTTTATCACGAAGTGTAGAGGTTATTAACTACTAACCAAATAATTCAAGTGCAAGCATCTATTCCTAATTTCCTAGATAGAAAATCAGCATATTTGCTAATCAATCATAAATTAGCAAATCACTCATCCATATCTTAACGGATTGATGTTATTTTCCTACCGTGTACATTCCCATAATTGTAGTGTTTTTTTTCAAAATCAAACTTTGTTGTTAAACATCTTGAAGTAGTCATCCTTGCGAAGGTATTGTTAAAATATCATCAATTTCCTGAGGTTCGAATCCCTCTTTTTCTGTCTCCCTTAATAACTTGATATTTGATTAATCTTTCAAGATTTTCAAATCTCTTTTCCTTTTTCATAGTTAAACGTGTGAAATAGATAAAAACTGAACAAAATCAAGGAAAAGGACAACCCATTCTAGTACTTGTTTTGGAAGGGGAATTCCTAGACAGTTTGAAGAAGAATAAGAAGTAGCAATTATGAAGCATGGATACAAATACGATACGATAAGATTCAGAAGCGGAGATATGTTCAAAAAAATATTTATAATTTCTAGTATTATATCATGTATTAGTTCAAAGAATAGTGAGAAACAATTATTTAAAATTACATATTAGTTTAAGAGTCCGTAGTTTTAAGTGGATAATACATTAATTTAATAAAATAAGAAAAAGTAGAGTACTAATCAGTATGTTTGATTTTAATTTTTTGAATTTAACTTTCTAAGAATTAAGTTTTTTGTTTTCTGTGTTTTTTTTTTAATAAATATTTTAAAAATTTTAAACAATTTTTTTACTTTTTTAGATGCACCTTACTTACATGTATCTAAAAAGTAAAATCAATAAATACACAAGAATACGAAAAATGTATCGAATTTTTGTAATTTTTTTTTTTTGTATTTTTGATATTTAGTGAATTTTTTAAAGATTTTTTTCACAAATATTATACTTTCTAAGTGTATTTACGTTAGGTGTATCTAAACATTAAAAAAATTGCTTAAAAAACTTAATTTTGAGTTTCAAAACCAAACAAGCTGAATTTAATCTTACTATTTTCTTCTTCAGTAAGAAATAAGAAAATACAAAAAAAAAAAAAAAGAAGCTATTATTGTATTTATTCTAACAATTATACTATAATAATATGCAAAAAATATTACAATTTCAATTTCATAATAGTTTAGATATGTGACCTAGAGTGTTCGAAAAGTATCTAAGGCCCCGTTTGTTTGGAGTTATAGGAAGGGGATTGGGACTACTAATACCTTGGTATTACTAATATCTTGTTTGTTTTGAGAGATGGCCTTGGGCTATGAAGCACGGATACTTCAAAAAGGGTGACGTATCCGTATCGGATACTTATCAGATACCGATACTCCTCGAATACTCGCGGATACGTATCGGATGCTTCTTAAAAGTATCGGATAATTCTTAATTAATTTTTTATTAATTTTGAAATATCGGATACTTAATTTTGAAGTATCGGATACTCGAAGTTACATATTACTTATAATATTTTGTTTAGTTCTTTCATAAGAGGAATATAGTGAGAGTTAAAGTAATAGAATTTGTCAAATTGATGTATCCTTGTTGTCTCTCTCACTTCTCTCTCGCTTTCTCACTCTCTCACGTTTCTTTTCTCTGCTCTCATTCTTTTTTTGGTGTTGGCATGTAAGGATGATGTTTAATTTGCATTTGCTTTTAGTTTTGGATGTTTTATGAATGTTTGAGCACTTTTAGGTTAATAGGAATCCCTCTTTTTATTTATTAATTTACTTTAAGTTTTATTTTCATGCATATTACATTATTAAAATTATAATTTTCTATTTTTTACGAATGTATCCCCGCTCTACCTGTATCATACTTTTTCAAATTTTGACATATCGCCATATCCACATCCCCATATCACCATATCCGTATCCGTGCTTCTTAGGCTATCATTGATGACTTAAAAAAGTATATTTGCTGAAATTTTTATTTAAGAATGGTTTTTTGGCTTTAGCTAAGGTCTGTGATATTCACTGATGAAGAGGAACAAGTTGAAACTATTGACCTTGAAGACTCTTAGTTTTATAGGAATTTTTCTTCTTTATCCAGTTATCTTTTGCTTTAGGTTTTATTTTTATGCATACTGCATTACTAAAAATTGTTAAAATAATATTTTTTATGAACGTATCCCCGCCGTACCCGTATCCTAGTTTTTCAAATTTTGTCGTATCGCCGTATCCGTACCGTATCGTATCCGTATCCCGTATCCGTATCCGTATCCGTGCTTCCTAGGCCTTGGGACTACTAATATCTTGGTATTACTAATACCCTTGGAAGGGAGATTCATACTGAGGAGGTAGAGATAGTATTAGAAAAATAGTGAGGGGATTAGAAATTTTTTTATTTTTTTATTTTTTATATATTGGGAATTTTTTTAAAAATATTGATGTTTAATTTTTATATTTTTTTATTTGTTTTATTATTTTATATAAAAATAATTTAACAATTTCTCACTATCAATCCCCTCCAATCTATCTCTGAAAACAAACGGAGCCTAATACTTCTCAAAATTAACATCAAATAACAGATGCGTACAGGAAATATTAGAGATACGTATTTGTGAGCATCTGAGGAGTATCGGTATCCCATACAAATATCACACCCTTTTAGAAGTATCCTACATTTCATAGAGTAGCAGAATAGGAAGACAAGGAAGAGCAAATTATGGAGAATCATGATGAAGAACAAAAGAGAGAATTGTGGACGGTTTACCTCCACAGCTGATGGGAACAATGTCATCCCACCAATGATGCTAAGCCCGGTGAGATATGCACTATGACCAGGCACATCCTCTAGAATTTCAGATGTGCCATAATCCATAAGCAGAAGATGACTAATGCATAAGCTGATTGCCAATACATATCTACCTTCCAATACCAATTGCAAGGCCCCTGGAATGGTCGAAAGCCACGATGGGAAGATTGGCAACAAGGGGCTTATGAATGCGATTACAGTCGACATGTACAAGAAGTGTACCGAGTATAATCTAAACAAAAGCCAAGTGAGACATCCTTGAAAGAAAGCAATCTCAGCAGTTGCCAACAGAACTCCCGAAATAGCCTTATCAAGAACTTCAACGCAACGAATCCTTGCGGATTTTGAAATGGGAAGCATACACATAACTTGTTCTGTTACTCCACCAGACTCGGATGTTATAAGATAATACAAAACCCAAAAGAAAACCATCGACTGAGACACGAAATTGAAAAGCCCTGCAGCTCCAGAGAGTATTGAATTTCCTATAGATAGCATGAACTTAGCACTACCACCTAGAACAGATTTACTACTAGTGAATACGCGTTGAGTCACATCCATTCCTTGAATGGCAAAGGCTTTCGCTTTCTCAACCAAATCCTCTCTGGTGATCAGCAATTCCCTAAAGATTGCATCCACCTCTGTATAAATTTGACCCCACTCACGATTCCCAAAGCTCTTCCTTAAACTCAACATTTTCTCAGTGTACGGGGATGGGGTCATCATTGCAGTGGAACGCCCAGAAGAATTCACCGATGGGCTTATAGCGAAATGTTTGATCCCAGTAACAAACTCTGTCAAATTGTACTGCATTGCCAAACTATCAATCTGCTCAGACACAGTTTCATAAAACTGGGAACTGTACCTATCCACCATCCCCGGCACATCATTATCATCCATCCACTTCTTTACTCCGATCTTCTCTGTGTAATTACTCTCTTCTACGTGCAATTTCAACGAAATCACAGCATCTTTCCCCTCAATTCCTATCTTATATGAAAAGAAAATCAAGCCTACTAAAAACCCAAGAATCATTCCAACTATCAATCCAATAGCCACAATTGTTTTCAATCTTTTTAGTATTCCTCCGGTGAAAAATGCACTAATAGTACTACGACGAAAACTATGACTCCTAATCGACGAAACTGTCGACATTGTCGATTCAACAGCATTGGAAGAGAACATAAATCCCAAAACAAGTAATGACACAGCCCCAATTATTCCGATTTGCTCGTAAGCAATTACGAAAACCCAAAAGGAGACAAGCCAACGGATCAATTTCGAAAACCCACTTCGATTTCGCCTCAAAACATTGGATTTCTTTCTCCGGAAAACAACCCGGAAAAAAACATCACGAATATCAACAAGGGTACCAACAAACACCCTAAACACAGCTACAGGGACTGCCAATAGAGTCTCAGTGAGACCCAATTTCAAGGGTTCTGACCAAAACCCAACAAGGGTTTGTTGAATTCCTCTCAAAGGGATTGAACAGAGCACAGCCCATTGAAGGGGACGAAGATATTCTTCGAGGATTCGAAAAACGCCGTAGAGAATGAAAATGGCGAAGGCAAGACCAGCGTGGGCCATGGCTATGTAGAGAGCGAGGCGTACCTGAGGGTCGCCGGAGAGGGACTCCGGCGGCGGAGGTGGGTTTTCCGATGAGGAAGGTGGTGGTTGGGTCTGGGGAGATGGGTCGGGTTTGCGGACGGAGGCAGATCGGAACATGTCTTGCCATGGTGGAGAAGCTGAGGTTGATTTGGGGTCTGAATATGGAACTAGCTCCATTTTTAGAGAGAGAGAGAGAGAGAGAGAGAGAGCGAAGAAGCAGAATCCAAGTGGAGAGAGAAGTGGAGAGAGAGAGACAGTTCAGAAAAATGAGAGAGAGAGAGAGAGAGCACAATGCTGACCTGGGGACAGGTAGTTGCACAGAAATGGTGGATTGGATAATGAGTCAATTTACACTACACCCCCCTCAATTAAGGGCTATTTATAACTTTATCCCCTCAATTAACAATTATATTATATTTTCACCTCCTAAGTTTTTAATTTGTTTCTATCTCAATATTCTATTAGCATTATATTATTTTTTTTAAAAAAAAAACCAAAGCACTACTTTAACTCAAAAATTAGATTCACTTTTCAAATCTAATGATATAATAACCTATTAAAACATCTAATGCAATTATCTCCTCTTTTATGTATTTTTTAATTATTAATTAATCATTTTTTTTTATATATTACTGGATCTAAAAAATAAATTTATATATTATATTCTTATAAAAATAAGACAAAAAAATATAAAATGTACGTGCCAATTTTACATTTTGTATTATATATTTATTTACAAGAAAGGAAGACTTCTATTTTGATTATGTCAGCTCACATGCTATTGTTCCGGTCTTCTTTTCATAATAAAATGATAAATAGAAAGTTGAAATCGTAACAGGTGAGAATATTATAAGAAGAAGGAAATTATAATAATTTTTTAAGTGAGGGGCAAAGTAATAATATTAATAACCCATATTGGAGGGGTGGACTGTAATTTGCACTACATGTATAGATGGAGATGGAGTATTTATTTGGGCGTCTCCAGGAATGTGGTGTGTGGGTGTGTTCAGAGAGGGGATGAACTTTGACTGGCTCTTCTAATAATTATTTACAAGGAAAATGATTGGGAGAGGGAAAGTTATTCTTTGCTCCTAGGGCAATTTGATATGGTGGTCCAATTTAGAAGTTGTTTAGGATAATCTAAATAAGTGTACTTTTTGATTTTTTATAAAATATAAGTTGAGTTTAGGTTGGATTGGAAGTGATGTGTTAGAGAGATAATGTAACTTAAATAAGATGATGTGATTTAAATAGGATAATAACTTTTTAACATTTTAATTTTTTTCAAACATGCCAAACCAATCCTTAGTTTTCATTGGTTGAATTAGTGAAATTTATTGTTTTTGAATAATACTATATATTTCAAAAGTTCTATCAAAATTTTTTTATCAAATATCTCATGTGAGACCCACATCATGTGAATCCTATGTAAATCTCATACCTATGTGATATTTGATAAAAATTTTAATAAATTTTTAAAATCTCTAATATTTTTGTTATTTGTTTATCTCTCTCCAAGAGATTATTAAATATTTATCTTTAAATGAATGGCGTAAAGCAATGTTCCTGTACCACCAAATAACTTCTCTGAGGAGAGGTTCAAGGCAAGTGATGGGGCTTGTATAGAAAAAATTATTAATTAATTTAGGAGTACGTGATCATATATATATTTTTTTGATTAATTACAAATTTTAATGACCTTTTATATTTTTTAATTACTTAAAATAAAATTATGAATTACATTCTCTTCATTAATCAAAACACACGTGAGGATCATGTGATGATATTTAAGACCAATCAATAACTTCTCTTAAAGTCTTGTTTAGAAATAAATTATTTTAATAATTTTTTAATTTTTTTATAACAGAATGTGAAAAAAATAAAAATAAAAAATATAATAATTTATAATAACTTCTTAATTAAAATATATAATTACAAAGGAAACCTAAGTGAAGCTGACGACGACGTAAACGTGGTCAGGTTTCGCACTCACGTGGGATCCGCAACTTGGACGCTGACGCTGACGTCGTATGATTTGTGTGGTGTCTAGGCGTGCGTGTTCTTCCAGTTGGGGTTTTTTTTTTAATTTAAATTATTAAAAATTAGTTTGATAAAAAAATATGAGACAAATTACAAACACCCCCTCAAGACTTGGTAAAAATACAGATTTGTTTCTAAAGTTTAAAAAATTACATCCCGTCCCCTGAGGTTTATATTTTTATAACAAATTACCCCCTGATGTTTTTATTTTCGTACAGATTCCCCCATAATTTTTTCTAATTTGTTATGAAAATTTGACCATCAGGGCGTAATTTGTAATTTTTCAAATCTCAGGGAGAAATTTGTATTTTTACTAAACCTCAAGGGGGTGTTTGTAATTTGCCCAAAAAATATTTATACCAATTATTAAAAAAATAAGTGAATGATGATTTTTTTTTCCAGTAAAGAAAGAGAAAAAATAATTAAAAATATTTGAATTACATATTAAAATTTTAATTTATAATATTTTCTTTTGTTTCTAATAGATTGTAAAGTTTTTTTTATATGTATATATATTTTTTAATAATGTATCAAGTTAATGAATTATTGATAAACTCAATCACTTGAAAAAAAATGCCCCCCAAAAATTAAAATCTCAAAATAGCATTTATATATAATTCTATATATTTTAATATAAAATTTACACATTTGTTTATTGAGACAAATAACTGTTCTATAGACACACTCATTGGCATTTTTCTTTAAAGATTGCATGATAAAACTCATAATACAATTATTTATCATGCCTTAAAAGAGAGGATTTATAACGCGACATAATGGGAGCATGGATCCTTTGCCAAACTGCCATGATTTTATTGTGATTTTTTTTATAACAAGATCCATAAATAAAAAACATAATTTAATAGTCTAAGTTCACAACAAAAGAAAATCACACGAAAATACCATACATTTTTTAAACTACACATCAAAATGTTGTCGTTTCATTTGAAATACCACAATAAAATTATTATAGAAGATCTTGATTTTTTAATACCTTTTTGAGGAAGAAAAAAAGAAAGGGTGAATTATATTAATAGTTCCTATAGTTTGGGACTTGTGTCACTTTAGTCTCTGACTTTTCAATTGTGGCACATTTAACCATGAATTTTGAATCTTATTCCAAATAAGGACAATTGAAGATATCATCAAATTTTTCAAGGACAAAATCGTCAATTTGATAAAATATAAACTAATTTGACAAAAATAAATGTCAAACATTTTGAATTTTTAAAAATTATTTCTATTAACTAAAAATAAAATTATGTAAAATTGATAAATCTTTTAGACATTTATTTATTTATTTTACCAAATTAATTTGTATTATGTGTTGGATGATGATCATTTAAAATTAATTTTTAAAAATTAATCATGTAATTTTTATTAATTTTAATCAATTTTACAAAATTTTATCATTGGTGAATAAAAATAATTTTTTAAAAATTAAAAATATTTTTTGACATTTATTTTTGTCAAATTAGTTTATATTTTAGTAACTTGACAATTTTGCCCTTGAAATTAAACAATAGTATCTTCAATTGTCTTTATTTGAAACAAGATTCAAAATTCAGAGTCAAATGTATTACAATTGAAAAGTCAGGGACCAACGTGACACGAGCCTCAAACTATAAGGATTATTAGCGTAATTTACTCAAAAAGAAAAGAAAACAGAGAGAAGCTAATCTAATCTAATCTTATAAGCAATTGAAATCCATCATGTGGGAATAACCATAGATAAAGAAACTGACTTTTAAAAGACCAAACAAAACGAAAACTAACCCAAAATTGGAAATTTTAAAACCTTTCTAGTACTTTTTTTTTTTTACGGGATTGGATTTTACTTGGCTTGTTATAGATATCAATAATTCATCATAGGCTGTCAGAAAAAAGAAACAAAGAAAAATGAGAAAACTAACCCATAACTAAATAAATAAATAAAAAGCAACCAAATATGATAAGATCTAATTAATGACAAGAACAACTGCAACCAAATATCATGAAGGAAAAATAAAAAAGAAGAAATATATCCACCAAAATTACCTCAATCGCAGACGGGAACATCGCCATTCCACCGATGATGCTAAGGCCTGCAAGATATGTGTTATAACCCGGTATATCCTGTTGAATTTCTGATGCACCATAGTCCACAAGCACAAGATAGATTATGGGTAAGCTGATGGCCAATAAGTATCGTCTTTCCAACACCAATTGGATGATAGCTGGAATCGTTGGAAGCCATGATGGGAAAATTGGAAACACAGGGCTGATAAATGCAAGCAAAGTCGACATGTACAAGAAATGTATAGAGTATAGCTTAAACAAAATCCAAGTGAGACATCCCTGAAAGAAAGCAACCTCAGCTGTAGCCAAAAGCACGCCTGAAATAGCACCGTTGAGAATTTCAATGTACCGAATCCGTGAGGATTTCGAAATCGGAAGCATGCCGATCACTTGTTCGGTTAACCCACCAGACTCGGATGTGATGAGATAATATAAAACCCATACGAAAATCAGCGATTGTAACCCAAAATTGAGAAGACCGACCGCTCCAGAAATGACAGAATAGGCAATAGAGAACACGAGCTTTGCACTGCCTGCAAGAAAAAATACGCTGCTAGCAAGTGCGTGTTGCGATACGTCCATCCCTTGAGAAGCAAACCCTTTTGCCTTGTCAACTAAATCCTTCCTGCTAACTAGAAATTCCCACAAAGTCACTTCGAGTTCTTTGAAAACGCTTCCCAACTCACGATTCCTAATGTGGTTTCTGAAACTCTGAAATTTCTCTATATATGGAGATGGGATCAAAGCTGCCTGAGGTTCAGAAGAATTAGCTGAAGGAGAAATCGCAAAGTTCTTGATTCCATTGAAAAACTCGGTTAGATTGTAATGTGTCGCCCAACTATCTACATGTTGCGAAACTGTTCCGTAAAGATGAGTAGTGTACCAATCCGCTATTTCTGTGACATCATTATCATCCATCCACTTCTTAATACCAATCATCTCGGCGTATTTACTCTCCTGCACATAGGTTTTCAACATAATCACCGCATCCTTTCCCTCAACTGCTATCTTGCAAGAGAAAAAGATTACACCGGCCAAGAACCCGACAATCATACCAGATATCAACCCAAGGGCCACAATGGTTTTTAATCTTTTGAGAATTACTTCCCTCAAAATTGTGCTACTTGTACTACAACCGATATTCCTAGTCCTATATGAAGAAAGAACAGAGACAGTTGATTCAAGAAAACTGGTACACAAGAAACTTAAACCGAGAAGTGCTATAGACCCAAAACTGCCAGTTTGTTCATATGCAATTACAAAGAACCCAAAAGATAAAAGCATCTGAATCAACTTTGGAAACCCACAATTACTCTGACCTGAAACCTTTGATGTTGTTTGATGAAAAACAATTGAAAACCAGAGATCACGGATATTGACGAGGGTACTAAGGATGGCTTTTGAAAGAGTGACTGGTACTGCTAAAATGGTTTCAGTAAGCCCTAATTTTAGTGGCTCTGACCAAAACCGAACAAGAGCATGTTGAATTCCTCTCAAAGGAATCGAACATAGAACTGCCCACTGGACCGGCTGGAGATATTCTTCAAGTAAATAACAAATATTGTAGAGTAAGAATAATGTCAAGGCAAGACCTCCATGAGCCATGGCTATGTAGAGAGCAAGACGTACTAGAGGATCGCCTGAGAGGGTGGTGTTCTGGTTGGGCTCGACTGGAGTGGGCTCTGACTCCAGAGGTGACAGACTATGGTTCTCTGCCAAAGACACGTTGTTTTGAGAGGATGCATCACGATTCCGGAAGGAAGCTGATCGAAACATGACTTGCCATGGGAGTATTGAAGCACTGGAAGGACCGCAAGTAGATTCAGGTTCACGCTCTATTGAGTGAAAGCCTTGACTCTGAACCTGCCAGACAAGTCATAGAAATCAAATTTTATTCAAGTAAATTGTACAGAGAAATAAAGAGATTATATATTCCCAATCAAACTAACATCAAGAGGGACTACTCTTTCTCTTTTCACAACTCACACAATACAAGTAGACTGAATATTAGGTAAGACCTGTTAATGATTTGCAGCTGGAAACTTGCATGAAGTTGGTTTCTAAAATAAATAAGGCCTCTCCTGGTTTAAATAATCAACATGCCCCTAGTTCAATCTAGCAACTTGGTTAAGCAACAATTGGCATACCAAGCAACAGATTATACCAATTCCCCACTATCCCCATGCCAACTGAAGTGGTTCTCAAACCTTTCCTTATACACAAACAAGTAAACATGTATCATATACGTAAATGGCCAGCATTATTTCATCAATTTTAAAAGCATTTCGCTATGCCAATCAAGCATGGCATTAAACATGTTAGATCTTGATTACTTTTCCAGAATAACCATTAAGTTGGAAGAGTGATCAAATGTGATATAGCAAAGAAGCATATGTTTGTCTTGGGTATTTCAACTAACAATTTCAAGATGAGCATGCTTCATGGTTTCAATCTCCAAATTGTTTATGTACTTCTCTTTCCGGATTTTTGGCTTGCAACATTATACAATTCCAATGGTGCAAGCAAGGAGTAAGAATTTACATAACAGAATGAGTTTTCTACTTCTTGATTATGTGCTAAATTAATAACTGAACTAGGAGAACCAAGATTTATTTGGTGAAACTTTGAGCAATTTTATTGATTACTCTTTTAAAATTGTGTCCACATTCAAAGTTGAAGGAAAAGGACTAATCAAATAGCTGATTTTTAATAATTATTGCCAAATTCTTCTTTTTACAGTTTGATTTAAAAAAGACACAATCAATTTTTCTTCATCCAATTTGAACTCACTTCCATTCTTCATAATTTTAATAGATATAATTTGTCTTTTGTATCAAAATTTACACATCAGCTAAAAAAAACTTAAATAAGCTTTAAAAAATTTGATCATTTAAAATTTGAATTAGAGATGCTTTTAACTTTTGTTTCGGGATTATTAGCTTTTAACTTGTAAAAAACTGCACCAAATAGGCCCTTGGATTGCAAATGTAAAGAAATGAAGAGCCATTCACCTTGTTTGTCAATTTTCTAAAAATTGACTTTTTGTTTTTTGTATTTCTTTTTTTTTTTTAACTGAATTTTTTAATATTTTAAATAAATGTTTTTTTTAAAAATTTTTAGATACACTTAATATAAATACAATTAAAAAATATAATATTTATGAAAATTTTTTTAAAAAAAATTTACTAAATATCAAAAATATAAAATATTTTTGTATTCTTATATATTTATATGTATTAGTTTTTTTAAATATTTTTTATAAATATTTTATTTTTTAAGTGCATCTAAGTTAGACCATCTCGAACGCTGCACCTTTTGTCTCATCCAAGGTTCTGAAAAGCGGTTGCGGTTGCGGAGTGTACAGGCTGTAGCATAACGGTTGCGGTAACCGGAACCGTGAATTTTTTTATTTTTCACACAATTTAAAAAAAACTTACCAATATACATATTTTTTTTCCATGATCATCTTTATTAAGTTTTAAAATAAATATTGATCAATTTTTTTAAAATTTTTAAGTATGATCCAATATATTTCATATTTTTAAATCATTATAAACTGAGTTTTTTAGATTTTATTTTAATAATTAATGACTTTATATTATACAAAAAATCAATCACTAACTATTATATATAAGATAAACAATGACAAAAGTAAGATAATAAATAAGAGCCTATATATATACATATTTTAATCAAGCCAAATAGATAATAACCACACTTATTATTATTATTATTATTATTATTTTCAAACATTATATAGATAGACACACACAAACAAAATGGTTGAGTGATAGTAGTTGAATAGAATAGCATAGGTCTTACAGCTTCAACAAATCAATAACATGTTCTTCATTTTCCCTCTTCTCTCTCTCTATCTTTTGCTCCTCCATCTTCCCTCTTTATCTTCCCTCTTCTCTCTCTATCCCTCTTCCCCCATTTTCAACTCTTTTTTTTTTCTGTGTGTTTTTTCGAAAGTAGAGTTCGGAACCGTTACATAACGGTGCATAACAGGCCGTTACAGTTGTTACGGCATTGTTATGACCGCTACGGCAGCCGCTACGGTCGACACACATGTGAATTTCAATCACACTGCAAAAGCGGCCGTAATAGGTGGCAGTAACCACCACAACCGTTACGTAACGGCGTTACGTAACGGTTGTGGCTACTTTTTAAAACCTTGGTCTCATCAAATTTAAATTTGATAAAAAGAGGAGCTTTTTGTTGCTCAACGCTTTCACCAAACAAGTATCAAACCCAAGATATCATAAATCTTTCATCAAATTGAGAATGGCTTGTGACTTTCATCAATTCACTGTTCATAGCCGTTGAAATTGCAGACACTCGACGTCCAGCCAGACGACCACCTCTTGGCAAAAATATGTGAAAAACTTACATTGGTTGGTCGACTGGCCAGTCATTCCCGATTGACCAGTGGTTTGATGAAATTCCAAATTACACTTTTGAAACACATAATATCATATGAAGCTTCTACTCAAATTTGATGAAAAAAAAAAGATAAACATGATAGATGCTCTTAGAGCATCTCCAACGGTGAATCAGATTTTTCACCAAATTTGAGTAAAAAATGACCCATTTTACCAATTTGATACCACTCGCTCCAACGGTGCACTTTCATCAAATTTGTGCCGGGGACAACCGGTTGGTCGACCGGTTAAGCGAAATTTTTTTTTTTTGATTTTTTTTTTGAACTTTTTGAACCTTTTAGTGGTCGACCGGCTGGTCAACCTGCTGGTCGACCGGTTAGGCAAAATTATTATTATTATTATTTTTTTTATTACTGTTTGAACCTTTTCTTCGAACCGTTTGAACCTTTAGGCGGGCAACCGGCTGGTTGACCAGTTGGTCTCTCCCAACGGTTAGGAACAGTGATTTGGTAAAATGCTTCGCCTGTTCTCATTTTGGTAAAAGATTTGCTGAATTCTGGATTTGATATCGATTTGGTGAAACCGTTAGAGCTCAAAAAAGTGACTTTTTCATCAAATTTTGAATTTGATATCAGGTTTGATAAACCGTTGGAGATGGTCTTAGGTACATTTAAAAATAAAAAAATTACTTAAAATATTTTTAAAAATTCGCTAAAAAAAAACGAAAAACAAGAAGTAAAAAAATTCCTGATCAAACAAAGTGAATGACACTCCCCAATTCTTTTTCCTATAAAAAAAAAAAAAAAGGATTTATATGTGAAGACCTTATATGCATTTGTGAGATTGAAAACTGAAATTGGGTCAATTGTTTCCCAATCCTCACAAGAAGAAAGAAATGAAAATGAGCGGACATCACTAATAACACTATACCAAAGCAAAATTAACGAAGTAAAAAAACATCAAAATTTGCCCACAAAAAATGAACTCTAAAAATTAGGGAAATTTGGGACTTACATGAGAATCGACGTTGTTCGGTTCGTCCTCTGGGGTTTCACCGGCCGAACGCTGCGGCGGCGGAACGTGGTGGTTTCGATCAGGGAAAGATGATGATGATGGTGGTGGTGGTGGTGGTGGTGGTGGTGATGATGAAGTAGGTTTTCGGAAGGAAGATGAACGGAACATGGATTGCCATGAGAGGTCATTGTTAGACTCCACCTCATTCGAATTTGATGAACTTCCCTGCCAAACATGGTCACGATATCAACTGAAAATTAGAGGAGAGAGAAGGAAAAAAAGTTTTTTTAAGGTTTTAATCTGGGAAAATGTGGATTAAAAAAAAAAATAGAGAATAAAAAATTTGTAGTAACATTTGATTTGGGGCACATTTTTTTCACTTATATAGGGTCAGAAGTAAGTAAAAAAATAAATCAAAAAATACTGTTCCAAACACTCCAAACCTATCCTCCAATCTAAAAATATTTTTTAATATTTTCAAGGGAAGGGCAATAAGGTAATTTTCTAAGGAAAAAGTAACACCGTTTAGTAATTTTTGACGACAGGGGGGAATTTTGATATTGTCAGGTAAAGCAAGGGAGGTTACTGTAATTATTCAAACCACAGGGGAGGTCCCTGTATTTGTCAGAAACATCAGGGGAAGCAAATGTAATTTACCCTTTTTTAAAACAATGAAACAAAATTTTTTATTCTTAAAAAAAATAAACAGAGAAATTATAAAAAAAAAAAGGCTATTTATTGTTATTGGAAATTATGTCTTACTTTATTATTGTTATTATTTTTATGTAGGTTAATTATACTTTATTTATCGATTATGATTGAATATCATTTTATCCCCTTTAATTTTAAAATTATGCATTTAACCCTCTTAATTATTAAAATTATTTCATTTTTACACCCTTTGAAAGAAAGTTTTTACACTTTTTTTTTTTAAATTTTTTTATAATTAAAGAGTCTAAATATACCACTTTAAAATTAAAATAAATAAGATAACATTTAGTGATAGTAAAAGGATAAAATGTAAATTATGTAAAGACCCAAATCAACCACAAACATTTTCATTTCACTTGTCATCAAAATGTGCTCCCATTGAAGCATATCATATTTTAGGATGACTTCTCTCCTTTTCATCCGAAATATCGACATTTTTTTTAAAATTGAAAATTTAAATTTTATTACCCCGTTAATCCCTTAAATATTGGGTCAGATTGTTTACATCTAAAAAAAAAAAAAAAATTCAGAGGTAATAAGCATTTAAATTTGGAGTTCTGAACTGAACCGGAGAGAAGCTCAATCTATTATTTTTCTTTTAAAAGTACATGAGAGAGAGAAAGAGAGAGAAACCTGAGGATCATTGGAGAGGATGGTGAGCTCATCTAATTCTGATTCCGATTCAGATTCAGAACTAGAGTACTGAATTAATGGAGATGAGATTGGATTTCTGAAGGAAACAGAACGAGCCACGAGTTGGTGGTTTTGAGGAGTTGAAACTGAACCAGACCTTCTAAAAGAAGCTGATCTGAACATGACTTGCCATGACAGGTCTGAGGAAGATCTTGGATCTGATTCAATCTTTGCACTTTGATTTTTACTTCTCTGCTCCATTTGGGTAATGATGTTCAATAATCAATGAACATGAATATGCATGCATTGCCAATGGAACTCTATCAGATATATAGAATAGTTATAGAGAGCATGTGTGTATTTGTTATAATAGTCTGATAGAGACCAGAGAAGCTTCAAAGAAGCTTCACACTTTCAACCTTTCATGGCAAGTCCAACAGAAATGAGTTTTTTTATGTTTCCTGGGAGTGTTCATATGAACCCCCCCTCTCTCTGTCTCTCAATATATATATAAAAATTTATGTATTTCAACTTCATGGTTGACATAATATGAGGCTGGTTTGGTGTTATTATTAGATAATCCAGGATTTTATTTCAAGGCAGAACCACCTCACAGGTGATTATTAAATTAATACCTTATTATAAAGTGCAAGAAGATCAAATTATCATTTTATAACACTCTCATGCATGATCGTTAATGATGGATAATGTTATACAAACAGAAAATTTATACATTATGGTTGTGTCAAATTATATAAATTTTAGTATCTTTCTTTGCTCAATATTAGATATTGTAAAACATGAAAAAGTTATAAGTCAACATAAAAAGATTAACGACTTGATTAATTCAAAAAAAACATGTAGTGAGTTTCATAAGTCCAAACAACCCCATCTAATTCAGATTATGGACTAGAGGGGAGTCGGGTCCATATGTAAAACATCAATGCAAGCAGCCCACAATAGCACATACATGCAATTTTGGCATGAATATGACAGGCGTGATGATTTTAACTACCCATTTCTATTATATAATTATATATATATATATATATGTATTATTAAAATTAGGTAGGCTTACATAGGACTAGCTAGAGTTTACTGACAGTGACAATCATAGATTAATTATAAGTATAATTTGCATTTTGTTACATTTTTTTTAATAATCAAATTTATAAGCTGCAGCAGGGGTAGCCATTATTATGCATTATAATACAAGACCAAAGTCTTCATTTATCCACTTCTAAAGATTTTGAATGAGAAAAATTATACAAATACAGAAATCCAACACATAGTTTTACATGATTCATTGGTAAGAATTTTTTGAAAATTTTGTTTGTTTATACACATTTTATATTTGAATTCTTATTCAGTTGCTATATTGGCACTAGTCTAAGGCCAGTGAGGCTTGTGCCTTAAACCCCAAAAAAATTGGCCCAAAATAGGGTTCAAATTTAGAAAGGTGTTATAGGCCCAATTTTTCTTTTCCAAAATATTTTATTGGACCCATATATATTTATAAGCGTGGTTTGACTCATATTTATTAAATTAAATAAATAAAGTGTTTGGGGCCCAAGACGAAGAACAATACATATATGTAAGGGTGAAAGAAAAACCGGAAGGACCGACCAAACCGACCGAACTGAACGGTTTTTGGTCGGTGGTTTAAGTTTTCAATCGTTCGGTTCGGTTCGGTTTATGTTTTTCTGTACATTCGGTTCGGTTTACGGTTTTTGGTTTTTTGAACCGAATCGCACCGAACCGAACCGAACCGAACCGAACCGACTTATATAATATTAATAGGCCCAAAATGTGAGGCCCCAAACCTATGTAGGAATTACATGGCCTGATCCCAAATTTTATGCAAAATGGATAGAAATATATGCCCAAAATGTGAGGCCCAACTAGGGGAAAAAAAAAGGCCAAAAAATCGAAAAATAGAAAAAATCGCACCGCACCGTAATAAACCGAACCGCGCCGGTTTATGTCATTTTTCTGGGCGGTTCAGTTCACAAATATGAAAAACTGAAATGATCGGTTCGGTGCAAACTAGTGAAAAAATCGACCGAACCGAACCGATTTCACCCCTACATATATGATACATCTGCTCAGTGCTCTCTCTCTCTCTCACGAAGTGACGAAGGAAGCATCCTTCAAGCATACCAAGGATAAAGCAAGGCAGAGAGCACTGAGCAGCGGCGAGTCGGCGACTCAACCTCTCTCTTTATCTCTCACACACTCCGGCGACTCACTCCCTTTCACACTCACACACTCTCTCTCTCATAGTAAGTCCTCTCGCTCTTATTATCAGATTTGATTAAATAAAGTTGCCCTAATTTTTTTCTACCTTCTTTCTTTATCAGTTAGTAGAATAATAAATTTACCCTAATTTTTTTACCTTCTTTATCTATCAAATTTTAGTAGAATAAATAATTTTGTCCTAATTTTTTTTAACCCTCTTTATCTATCAGATTTTAGTAGAATAAATAATTTTGCCCTAATTTTTTTACCTAGGTCTTTATCAGTTTTAATTAAATAATTTTTTTTTCTAATTCTTTTGTCCTAATGTTATTTCATTAAATTATTTTTTTATAATTTTTTTGCTATCAGATATGAAATAATTAGTGGATTGTGATTTGTGGATTAAAGTGTGATTATAGCATGTTTCTCAGGAAGTATAGTTCTGAAAATAAAAAGAGAAAGAAGATGAAAGTAAAACAATTAGAGGGATTCCATTTTCATAGTTCGCCTTAGATTTCACAAATCTCAGGACCGGCCCTATATATTGGTAAACTTATTTGAATTTTGAATGGGGTAGAATTTAATTATATATGATAATTATGATGATCTCATGGATTTGTATAAAGAGGTTGTGCAGTCGTTAGAGGCATTAGGAAAATGGTTAAGGTAATCACTCTTGGCTTTTTGTGTTTTTGGGATTAGAAAACTATTTTCTTCCCATAGGTTGATGGAAAACCATTTGTTAGTTATGTTATGATAAATTATACTTTTGGTCCTTCTAGTTTTAGTTAATTTTTTGTAGTTTTAATTTCATTAATTTAAATCTCATATTTCTAACTAGATAAAAATAAAAAAATAAAAAATTCTCATATTTCTAAGTTGTGTTTCATGGGCACATCAAGCAGTTACAAGGGTTCAGGTGGGCTTATCTTGGGCTTATTTTGATGATTAGAACCATTTACCTTGTAAAATTTATTGCGAAAGTCACCTATGTAAAAAATTAAATTAATCAGATATCGATAATCACATTATTAGATCCTAATTATTTCAAAAAATTGAATGATCTATTATCAAAATCATACTTGTTGTTTGTTTTTTTTGGTTATGATTTATAGATGTCTAACTAGCATGATTTTTTTATGCAACATTTTTTTGTAATGAAACCAAAGGAATCTACAACGGTGATGAAGCCAAAGGTATCTACTAAACTAGTAGAGCTTTAAACTAATAATGGCATTAGCAATTGAACCATTTGAAATCCAATTAAAATTTTAAAGTATCAAAATGACACAACTAATTAACAACTGTTGAGGAGATAGAAAGCATAACAAGACAACATGCTATATTATTCTGCTAATATCCTCAAAAAAGACATGAAATCACTTTGTTTTCTTTTTCCTTTTTGTAGCTATTCCTCTTCCTTGTTTGACATTGTTGCAATCTTATAAACAAACTTCATTGTTTTTTTGTTACAATATATGTTTCAGAAATGGCATATGCTAATTCTTCTTCGAAGGCAAATGTATGCGCACAATCGATAACCTAGAGCCATGGCTAGCAATACCCAAACTTCTTCCAATCCACCACTCAAATTCACCGTGTCGAATGAAGGGGAACTCTGCAAAGTTCTACACCCTCCTTTGCTTTCGCATTCATATAGTTCGTCTCCTGAATACTGCACTTTTAGCAAAAGTCTGAAGCCATAGTACATGAATGATAAATACTTGAACCATTGTATAAATTTGGGTATGTGCTGCAATGACAAACAAAACAACATAAATGGTGTTAGTCTTGTTTGTGTTTTATTCTTTATTTTTCTCATGATGTCTTGGAGGCTAGTGATGAGTCAGGATTTGATTTAGGAAGGGCAAATTTTAATGTAAAAGATTATGTCTAGGGACGATGTTACTACATTGGCCTAGACACACTTCTCCCAAACCCAAACCCCGATCCAACGTGTACTCCCTCACCCTCTCCCTGTTTTGCCTCGTGTATGTTTGGTTGAATTGTCTGAATTTGCTTTTGAAACTTTTTTAAAAACTAGTTGGGGAAAAAATTAAAAAATTAAAAAACATTCATTATTTTTTAATTTTTTTTATATGGATTTCTCTTTTTTGTGTAAAGATTCCAACAACAACAAAAAAATGACAAAACAAGTTGTGAAAACTCAACCAAACATATTAAAGGGAGCAAATTGCAAGGACTTTTTGAAATAAAGAATATAGCATAGGGGCATATATAAAATTTTACAGTAGCAATTTTAAAAAAAATTACATAAGAGTTACACACTAAGAAAGTAAGAAATGACAATTTGCATTTCTTCATGTTAGATGCAATTTTTCATGGAAAATGAAGATGGGTATTGATTATTAGCTACTACACATTGCTTTCCAAATTAGTTTAGCATGACTAACAAGAAACATATAGTCCTTGTTTGTCTAACAAGAAAACAGTAATTATTCTTTATCTATCACAGATTTGAATACCTGAACATAGTAACCTCCAGTGAGAAGAAAGATCATTAACACCAAAGAAGCAATCATCCCTGCCCTTCTAATACTAAGAACTGCAGCGCCGAACATTTCGCCCGCCCCCTAATTCAGAAAAACAAATCAATTAACACTTTATGATAAAAAAATTTAGTGAACAAATGAATTTTGTCTTACTTGGCTTGTAACGGCTATCAATAGTATTGCAAACAACGTCATGAAGAAGCATGAGATCGTTCTCTTGAATCCCGCCATGAAGTATAAAATTGCCATGAACAAAGTAGGATAGAAAACATGTGCCACCATGTCACACAAGGTGCTACACACATAGTACACGCTTAACCGGTACATGTCTGCTTTCCTTTCTTTCACTAAATAGAGTTTTTCGAATGGGAAGACATATACAGCTCCAAATATTGATGAAGATGTCCAAAAAATGCAGATGTAGAACATCAAACCAATCTGCATTTGAAGGGAAAATGCTATAGTTATAGAATTTAGGACACATAGGGATAAGAATTTAGGACTAGATGGACATTTGGGTTTGTTTGATGCAACTACTTGCAAGCTGAAAGTTAACAATCAGAAAGCAGAAGTTAAAAGTATTTATTTCCCAACTTTTCATTTATCAACTTTTTCAACTTATTAAAGTTGTTTTTGCCTCATAAGGTCTAAGAAGAAACTATACTAAACACTACTTTGACACGCATTCTCAAAATTCTAAAAAAAGGAAAAAGAAAAAAGAAAAAAAAAGAAGCTATATAATTAACCCCATAACCAAACAGGACAAGTACCTGATCTCTGAGTTTAGCCTCAGTTGCAATATTGGATTTCCACCAAAGGAGGCCTAACAAGACTGCGACGCCAAGCGCTTGAACAAGTCTTAGCTTGTCGAGGTAATCTCTCCACCTCTCTCTAAATGTTCTCTTTGCCAATATTGTGAATTGTTCCCACCAAGTGATCGTCCAATCCTTCCTAACTTGAACTGCTAACTGAAGTTGCTCTGATGCCTCTATTGTCCGATGATTCTCTTGTTTTTCTTTTGGCTCCAACAAAGTTTTGTACTTGAGTTGCAAATACTAACATGTCATAAAAAAACAAATGTCAAACATTTTCAAATAAGAACATTGACATTATAAAGTTGAGAAATTTCTCACTTTGATTACAACCCTCTCGGAATCAGTTGTGCCTCGTGATGCGTGTAACTCTTCGGGAACCCTAATGTCATTCACTTGTCCGGTTGCTAAATCTAACAAGAATTCTGCAGGGTTCATTGCTATATCCGGGATGAATCTCAGAGATGAGAAGTACTCTATTGACTCTCTAGCCTTGCCATAGTACACTGGATAGCCTTCTGATATCAACAAGACCTTGTCGAACATGTGAAACATCCTACTTGAAGGTTGGTGAATTGTTGTGATTATTGTCCTTCCTGCCTATAGATTCAAATAAAAATGTAGCATTTACAAAATTTCACATTCTTAGCCAACCATTATGTCACATGTTTTTGGTAAGCGTGATGAATTTAGTGACAAATTGTTATACCTTTGCAATGCCTTGGAGAATCTGAAGAAGTCGATTTGCAGAGGTTGAATCGAGGCCTGAAGTTGGTTCATCGAGCAATAACAAAGAAGGATCAACAAGAATTTCATACCCAATACTTGTTCTTTTTCTTTCTCCCCCGGATATCCCTTTAACAAATCCTCCTCCTACTCGTGTATGACGACATCTAATTTAGAAGATAAATTTAGAAACACATGCTTATATCAGTTTCCATAACATAATTCATACATTTTGAATCTCCATGATAATATGGTAAAGAACTTTGCTTCAATACAAACCTTTCAAGACCAAGTTCCTTAATAATCATCTCCACTCTTTCATATTTCTGTCTTCTGCTCATGCTGCTTGGAAGTCTTAAAAATGCAGAAAAAACTAAGGTTTCCTCCACTGTCAGTTGTGGGAAGAGCACATCATCTTGTGTCACAAATCCAATCCTGTAATGCAAAGAAATAATAAAAAGGTGACTCAATGCATGAGGCTTAACGAATAAATGGTATTTGGTGAATGGGTTAATTACACTAATAATCCCCAATGTGATTAGCTACACTTTAGTCTTTCAAAATTTTTTTAAATTTTTTTTTTTTTTTTTTTTTTCATTTTGGTTTGCGATGCAATCTGTTACACTTTTTTTTTTTCAAGCTTCAACACCTTTCAAAATCAATAACAAGAGAAGTATTTTCGGAACTTTACAAAAAAATGTGACCAAGGTAAAAGATTAGAGACCAAAATGTAATAAAGCACATGCTTTGGGAACTTAAAAAAATGACTAACCTCCTCTTAAGAGCAGGATTATAGGCAATGTCATTGTAAGATATGGTTCCCTTAACATTTTCATGTAACCTCCCTCCTATGATCTTTAGCAATGTGGTTTTGCCACTACCAGAGGGACCCATGAGAGCAAGGATTTCACCGGGGCCAATGCTTCCTGTTATGCCCTTGAGTATGTGCTTGTAATTGTCATGTTCCACCAGCTGTGAGGCCATCTTTGACACCACTGCCTTCACAGGGTTGTGGGAGGAAGGTTTGCTAATTCTTACCATGTATTCCACATCCTCAAACTGCATTTTTCAAAGAGAGAGCTCAAAAATAACAACATAGTTATGTAAATCTTAACACAGATAAAATTGGGTTTTCATCATCTTGTTTGGTTGTGCTTTCGTTTTCTTTGAATATAGTGTTTGGTAACATTGTCAATTTTATGTTTCTAGAAAATAAGAAACATGGTTTTATATGGGTTGCCAAAGGTGTTAGTCGATAATGGGAGTGGCCAGAAGTGGAGACCAATGGTGAGTGGTGGACGAGTTGGTGGAGAAGGGAGGAGAGAATCAAAATTTGTTTTGAAAACAAGTGAAAACACCAAAATCTTAATTCCTAAAACTGTCGCCACTTTCTTTTTTGTTTTTTTAAAAAACGAAAACAATTTCCAAACATATTTTTGTTTCCTATTCTCAAAATCTTCAAAAAATACATTACCAAACAATCTCTCATTTTTATTTTTCAGATTTTTGGAAACAAAAAAAAAGAAAAGTCCATCGTTTTCAATTTTTATTTTTTATTTTTTGGGTGTGAAAACGTACTTATCAAAAATTCGAAAACAAGTTTTCAATTATTCTTAAAAAGTGGATTGTTTTCAAAAAAAACTGCTCGTAAAACAATTTTTAAAGCGAGTTCACCAAGATGTGATACATTTTTCTAAAAACAATAACACAACAAAAAACGAAAACATTCAAAACATTGAATTTCTTTACGAAATACTTTCTTGATTAAGAAACAAAATAAATGTAGAACTAAAACAACCTTGAGAAATATGGGAAGTGGGTGGTCTTTATTTGCTTCAGAGGTATCATCCTCAATATCAATCTCTGAGCTCCTATTTCTTAAATAGGCTTGAGACATGAACTCAATGTTGTGACCAAAGCCATTGCTTCCAGCTATTTGCATTGAGCCCATAGTTGGAGGAGGGGACAATATTGACATTTCATCATTGATCTCCTCTTGCCTCCCAATCTCCATCTTAATTCTTGAAAACACAAATCTTGAGAAGCTCAAATCTTGTATTTTAATGGAGGTTCATGTAGTAGGAGTGAATGATCAACTGTGACAAACCAAAAGCTTGCCTATATAGTGTGGGAAGAATGAGTATTGTTAGGCCACATGCTTTTTGTGGCTTAAGATTTGGGGACATAAGTGACCTTTTTGCTTCGTTAGAAAATTCAAACATACCCTTGGTACTACTATTTACTAATATTGTGATTTCTTGCCAAGAACATGTCTTGTTTTTTCCTTTTAAAAAATAAGAATTGATTTGGATCATGAAGTGCTAATTGGTAAATATTGCAAATATGGATTGGGAAGGATGTTGCAAAATGAAAGTAGAAAGTGTTGAAAATGCACATAATTCTTTGAAAAATATTCGAGTGGTTGCAGCTTTGGTTGGAACTTTTTTTTTTTAATTTTTTTTTTGGTTAAATTTTCATTTTCACTGTTCATTTTCAATTGCAACATCAAGTAATAATGGGACTAATTGAAACTGAAACCTAAGCCACATTTACATTTTTCTAACAAACAAATTGAAAATAAAGTGATCACGATAAATTATGATAAAAATATATAATGGTTAAAAACACGTTTATGGTCCAACTCACAAGCACTACTCTTTAACTCAAGTTCAAATCAATAATTTTACAGTCAAACTAAAATCTTATTAGCCTAGTTACGTTTAGGCTTACCAATAAGCTTCGATTTTTATTTTTTTTTACAAGACTTTTTCTTAATATTTGAGTTCGAGTCCCTTACCCTATTTCCCTCTCACAAAAAACAAAAAATAAAAGAAATGCTACGTACCTCAAATATTCTATCAAATATTTTACCAAACTTCTCACGTGAGACTCACACAAATCTACATGTGTGTGATCTCACACCTATCTAAGAGATTTGATAGAATATTTGTGTCCCTAGCATAATTCAAAAATAAATAAATACTAAATTAATAAACACGCCAATAAAAATAAAAATAAATATTAACAACCTGGCGGAACGACGTCGTTCGCGTTGGCACCACAAGAACACAGAGATGAAGAGAAACATCCCTTAACAGACGACGGTGTTTGTTCGTTTTTTTGGACAGTCAGTTTGATTTTTGTTGAGAGAGAGCGAGAGAGAGAGAGGACATGGATGAATCGCTAGAAATTCTGGAGAAATCGCTTGCCAATTCAGGGGTTTCGATCCCACAAGGAGTGTCTTCGATCAAAGACCTCAGTCCCGACACTTTGTTCTCGATCTGCGCACAATCGCTTCGCCTCATCGACCCCCCTTCTTCATTCCCCACCTCCCTCCCCGACTCCATGGCCGACCGCTTCAAGATCTGCACTGACCTCGCTTCTTCCGTCACCAACCTCGGTTTCATCGGCGACATCAGCTTCCACAAGGTACACCAATCGATCCTCTGTTTGGTTCCTAAGAAATCATCTGCAATTTGGATGGACATTGAAACTCAATTATAGCTGCACAAATATATTGATATAACAAAGTTCATTTTTTTAAAGCTTATTTAGGGGCTTTTTTATAGCATTTGTTGTCTTCGTTCGATTATCTAGTTCGTTTATAGTGTGGCTGAGATGAGAAAGCTTTAGGCTGTGTTTGGTTCATGGATTTTGAGTAGAGATTTAGAAAGGAAAATTGTGTGAATTGTAACTGTATTTCATTCACATTTCACTTATATTTTCCTTTTCAAATCTCTACCCAAATTCATGAGCTAAACGCAACATAAGATGGATGTGTGGTAAAGAATGATAGGTTTAGAAATGAATATACCAATTGAAGATTAGTTGAGAGATAATAGGCTAAGATCATGCACAATGAAAGATGCAACGTTAAGGAAGAGTTATATGATTACCATAAACGAAAATGTTAGGAACGGGGGAAAGGGGAAAGGGGGAGCGGAAGACCTACTGCATTTGGTTTAGTTTTGGAATTGTGTTTTTTTTTTGGAGTTGTAGTATGAGTGTGGAATTGTGAGTTAGGTTTTGAAAAGAAAAAATTTGTTTGATTATGAGTTTTGAAGACAATTTTGAAAGGTATTTTTGAATTTTGAATTTTGAAAAGAGCATATTGGGTTTACTTGGTCGTCCGTCCGGACATCTTTCGGGACTTCAGGCTGGTTGACCGGAACAGTGAAATTATTATTATTATTTTTATTTTATATTTTTTTTGCAATTGCAACCTATTATTTGGAAAAAAAAAAAATCTATTTATTTTAGATATTTTTTAAATATAGAAATTATTTTTTTTTAAATTTTTTATAAAAATAATTTAACAATCCCACCACTAACCATCTTTAATACTATATCATCAAAAGAGTTTTGAAAAGAGTTTTGTGTTGTGTGTGTTGGTTATGAGTTTTGAAATTAATTTTTGAATTGAGTTTTGTGTAATTTTAAGTTGTATGTTTGGTTATGAGTTTTGAAAAGTATTTTGAAAGGTGTGCCTTTGGAATCATGATTCCAAAGTCAAACCAAAAGGAGCCCTAAACTGACCTGGGATGTGGTAGTAATTTAAAAAATTGAATTCATTTTATTTAATTGAGCATATAGTCTTGACAGAGCAGAATGGTGGAAAATGATTAATGTATCCAATTCCATTGGACACGTAATGTATACAAGGTGTAGTTTGGTTAGGTCATTTGATTATCTAGCTGAAAAGGTTAAGATCATGCTGTGTAAGAATTCATGTAATGATTGGTTCCTCTGTTTAATGTCTGATACACAAGTCAAATATCAACTACGTATATGATTCTATTACAAGAAGCAGCTGGGAGACCAGAGCTCCATTGCTGTGATACAGTGATAGCTATTAAGAACCAGAACCAGAACCAGCATGACCATGGTTAAAATTATCTACATCAAGGCTCCAACCCACTAGGCATATGATGCTTATTAGTCAAAATGCCTAATGTGACTCACTTTTTTCAACTCCAATGCACTAGGCATATGCTTAGGCATTTTGGCTCAGTTCCCATTCACTAGCTACATGTAGCTAGCCTTCAAGGCTAGGCAAAATGTATTTAATCATTAAGATTATTTCCCTCCATCTTTGTTGCTGACGTGGCATTCTATAAAGTTAATAGTATTTGGATGAATAGCTAAAATAAAGAGTATGGTTGGGGCAGAAACATGAAATCGTTGATAGGCAAAATAAAATGTATACTTTATAGTAATATTTAGATAGGTAAAATGCCTACTACCATTGGAGATGCTCTTAGAACCCAACCCATCCAGTTATAATATTTAGAAACCAACTCCCTGCCAATGAATAGCTCGAGGCTGACTGCTACCCCAAGGTTTATACCAGTTAAGTATTAGAGTCCAGCCTTTCCCTTTTTTTGGTGAGAAAGTAATTTATTACCAAAAAAAGAATGATACACAATGAAGCTGAACACACATCCAAAGGGAGCACAAACACAGTCAAAGACCAACTGCTTGTATGAGATAAGGTGCAGATTGTGATAAAAGTTAAAAGGTAAAAAGGTAAGCTTCTAGAAGTTCATAAAGTTGTGCTCCCATACCTCTTCAATCTATTGTGATGAGGCCTGTTGGATCTCTCATGGTCTATCCCATCAAGTTTTTGGAAAGAAAAATTGGGCAATAGTAAAGAAAATGGTTAATGAGTATAGCCTACTACTGGAAATTTAGATATGGTTATTCTTATTATTCTGAAATTATTCTTAGTTACAGAATATGTGTGTTGCTTACGGCAGTTCCTGTATCCATCTGAAGAGGACCTGTATAAGTTGGTGAGGTTCTTAGTTAGGAAGCTGTCTGAATTACCAAAAGAAGTTGGGGAAGTTGCTGAGAAAAGGGATATCATTGCTAGTACAACAACAAAGGAAAATGACTTCAAAGCCGTTCCTTCTGAGGAATCGACGAAGAAGGCTGATAATCATAGGGTAGATTTGAGTGGTGATGGAGTTGGAACCAGATTAGAGGATCTGAGGCTGAACTCTGAAGATGCCTTTGTCAGTGGCTTTCTCGAGACTCATCCATTGCAACAAAAGATTGGCACGGAAGCTATTCCTGAGATATTCAGATCTGGCATGCAAGATTTCAGCAAGGAGGATACGACAAGTGTGCAGGATGACAATGAGTCAACGAAAAGACTTGGGAAGTCATATGAAGAATCTGCAAGTCAAATGGACGATAAACATGTTTCAGAGATTGAGCAGAAACTAATTTCTCTAAGCAAGCAGTCGTCTGAGGTATATATTTGAACTATGTGTAATTTGTAAAGATACTTGACTAGACCAGCATGGCTCTCAGTAAGCTGATGAAATGCTACCCGATGTGTGGGCCAGCACAAGATGGAATTTTGTGTGTATTGATTGTTTGTTGGGATGTTAAACTTAATACAGATAAGATACAAGATTGGAAAATTACGAAGTCAGGAGAAAGTGCTTGTGGAGGAAACAAGTGCAAAGACCGTAGAAGCACAACATCAAGAAGAAGAGCATGAGTTGTTGAAATCAGTTGTAGAAATGGCATTTGATGACCAACATAATGCTGACTTTCACATTACACAGCTCAATGAGCAAGTAGATTCTAGACGGGGTCATCTTATGGAACTCGAGACACAATGGTATGATTTTTTCTGTTCTCTTCATTTCATCAAAATTTAATCACATTATACCCAGAAAAGGCATTAGTCTGGTTCCTATTTTAGTCATGCATGGGTTGTGGCTAACGTGTTGACTTCACCTATTGCGTATTGCAGGGATACTCTCAGAAAGTCCTTGGAAGAGAAAAAGAGAAGCCTCGAGGAGGCTGTTCATGCAACAAAACCTGAGTCTCTGGAAAAGCTGAACAAATTGAAAGACATTGAGCTGGAAATAGAAGCTGTCCTATCTGAAACTAAAAAAAGGTACATCTCCACCAAATTTTGCGCAATTCTGAGCACATGCTGCTTGCCTTGTTTCCTCACGTGCTTATTCAGTTGTTCCAAGAATTGCATGGCCAAGCCACGCCGCATCACTGTGGGAGACAATATGCTCTCTTTTGGCTTACTGTGCATCTTTATATTTTGAATTAGGCTTCACATCTTTAGTATATCGGTGCTTCTATGTTTTCTTAGACTGGGTGTCTTGTCATGCCATAGGGACGAGGAACGTTCTAAACTGTCAGCAGATCTTGGAAATCAGCCCAAACTTGCATCTAGGAGATCCTATATTCAGCGGATCACAGAGATCGCTAAGAACATCCGGAAACAAGATGCAGACATAGAGCGGATTTTAAAAGATACCAGGGAGCTTCAGTTGGAGTATAATTCTATCCAAGAACGCCTACATCGAACCTATGCAGTGGTATATGAGACAGTGTTAAGGTAATTCCACGATGTGGCTCGTTTAATGTAACATTGGTGTTATTTAGTAAACTGTTGTCCAAATTGAGCATAAGTAAGATGTTTATGCAGGGAAGCAAAGAAAGGCACCGTGGGGGGGCAAGCTTTAATGCTCCTTACCAGCATTCATGAAAGTTTCGATCAGATCGCAGATAAAATCCTTAGCGCTGATCAAATGCGAAGGGAAGTGGGAGAATATGAAGCCAAGCTTTCAGCGTTGGCCCGCCGAAGCTTTAACGTTGACAAACTTCAAGCTGATCTTGATGCCATCAGGAGAGAGAATGAGTTCCTGGAGCGACAAACGCCTCAATGACTCTTGAAATCTGTAAGGTCCTGTCTCATTAGACCTTATACCTGCAAAATCGTAGATCAAGCTTTTAATTTTGATCAATTAATAGTCTGTAATTTGTGAAAACTTATTCATTGTCATGGAAAATAAATTTGTGAAAACTTACTCATTATTTTCTTCAATAAATTTGGGGGTAAGTTCTGATACTTAGGGAAAAACAAATATATTTGTGTTTAAATTTACACTTAGGCCCTATTTGGCAATCTTGTAAATAAATAGTCAAAAGTGAAAACAACCATTTGGTTTTTTGTTAAAAAAATTACTTTTTGGAGAATGTTAATATGATTGTTAAAAGATGATTTTACCTTTCATTTCTCCCTTCAATTATGTTCACAAGAACTCCAAAACACTATAAAGGCAATATAATAATTTCTCACTGAAAAAAAATATATATATTTATTCATTACCAAACACGTCACTTTTTAAAAATTTAAGGAAAAAAAACAAGTAAAAAAACAAAGGTAAATTATACTCTGCCCCTTTATATTTGATTATTTTCTCATTTTAGCCTTTAAATTTTTTTTTCTACTTTGCCCTTCATGTTACAATTTTTTTAATTTAATTCAAAAATTAATTTATGTCTAAAATTAGATATAAAATGACACATCAATAGTCGTATGTCATAAAAATATTTTATTATATATAATTTACACCTTTGATAGAAATCTAAATCTCAAAATAATAATAAATTTTTATGTCATGTGATAGTTAACGTGATATGTTTAATTTTGAACAAAAATTAACTATAAATTAAAAAAAATTAGAGCATAAAAGGTCAAAGTGAGAAAAATAAAATAAAAAAGCTTCAAGAGTTAGGCCAAGTTTGGCATAACCCAAATAATATAAAAAGTCAAAAAGTCATTATCCTATTTAAATCACATCATCTTATTTAAATCACATCACCTCTCTAACACATCACATCAAACCCAACCCAAACCTAACCCATATAAGCCAATAAGTCAAAAAGTATACTCTTTTAGAACATCCCAAACCAACCCTTAAAGTAAGAAAATAGAAAAATATAAAAAGAGTAAAGTGTAATTTATCTCACTAAAAAACATAAATTTGAAAAGACTTACAAAAAAATAAATAAATAAATAATAAATACTAAAAAAAAACAATTACCAAACCTCTAACTTATCAGTAACCATCCTAAACCTCACCAGCAAGGAGATTTCATTCCTTGTAGTCCTTTCAGTTTCAGTATTTTTTGTGCCATGGCAATTTGAAATAGAGAATTTATATCAAAGAAAGGTCTAACCATTGGAATAATGGTATTTATTGCTATTTGATACATTAGGGTAAGTGAAATTGGTACATTAGGTGAAGGTACGGAAAGAGAGAGATTCAAACCCTTAGTAAACAAAAATTTCCATAGCAGTTTCAATGCTACGCCTTGAACCACTCAACTATCTCTCCTACATAAGGATTATGACCCAAAAATCAAGTGAATAGAAAGTCATTCAGATTCAATTATTGGATAGGTACAACCAATTAATTCAAACTATAAAGAAAGCTCTCATCAAACAAGGATCTTTCCTTCGCGATAAAGATAACAATTTGGATTAGATCATATATACATATATGTCATAATCTTGATCACATTACAGGAACATTCCCATAAACAAAAACATGGGTTGTATAGATATTATCATATGCATAAAGTAACATGTCTTCTTGGAAGAAATTCATAGTTGAATCTGACTCTTCTTTGAGTTCTTCGACATGAAGGAAGCACGGGTGCGGATACGTCGATTCGGCAAAATTCAAAAAAAGTACGATACGGGTACGGCTGCGATACGTCGATATATATATATATATATATTGAAATATAATTATGATTAAAGGATCCAACTTACAAATTAAAATTAAATATCAAAACTAAAAAAAGAATTACTCATTTTCCTATAATTTAAAACCATTAAGCGTTAAAAATAATATTTGTGAAATCTCTCACTTTGACATGTTATGCACTGTGAATTTGTGATCATAATTTATTTTTAAAATCTTTCTTTTTGCCCATCAATTTGCTATTTTTATAGGGTGAGACCAAATAAATAACATGAGACCAAAGAAAGATTTAAAGTTAATTGCCAACAGTAAAGGAAAAAAATTTCTCAATTGGGGCAGGTTTTCAATTGCAATTTGCATAATACATAAAATTGCATCATTCCCAACCACTACTAATCAACTAATACAGTATCAATTTTTAATGTTTTGTGCATAAACTTCAAAGTTTGTCATGATTGAAGATTTTATAAAGAAATTCTAGGAGGATCTGAAGCAAAAGCATAATGTATAGTTATACACAGAACTACCCTTTATAGGGCATGTTATTTTTTTGGTTCAAATTACTTTTTAAAAATATCAAAATCATTTGCTGATATGCTTATACAATTTATACAGACAGACAGAATAACAAAGAAACATCAAAATTACTTATCTGCAAGGGCACCAAAAAAAATAAATAATTGCAACGCAAGAGGAAAAAAAAAAAAAAAAAAAATGCCCTGCGACCTGGCGTACTCATGCCGTACCCGAATAAACCAAACGTACCGGACCTTCTTTTGCCGTATCGGTACGCGTACTGACGTACCAATATGTGTACCCGCATCCGGTAAGTACCCAGTACTCGTACAACACTATTTTTGGAGTACCTGTACTTCATAGTTCGACATGGACGAGAACAGAGGACAAGGAATTCGAGTTGGCGCTTGTGGAGTTTTTTTCCAGATGATGAAAACTGGACTCCACAATCGTGGGAGAAGATTGCGGCGCAACTACCCAATAAATCGGCGAAGGAAATTGAACAACATTACAATGATTTGTTGGGTGACGTGGCAGACATCGAAGCAGGACTCATAGATTTGCGTCCTTACGTGGACTATGATGATTTGGTTGAAAGCTGCTCCTTAAGTACTTCGAAACAACAACAACAGAATAAAGTGGTGCAGAGGAGAATAGGGATAAGATGGACTGAATCTTGACCATTGAAAGGAGGAAATGAAGTAGGAAAAGTAAAGAAAGGATCATTGCTCATAGTTGTAAGTATATATGTATTATGTTTTTTTTTTTTTTTTTTTTTTTTTTTTTAAAAAAATTTTTTTTTTAAAAAAAAAAAAAAAAAAAAAAAAAAAAAAAAAAAAAAAAAAAAAAAATAAATTACAAAGTGATTTTTTTCTAAAAAGGTTTTACCTTTTTGTTTTACCACCAAAAAAAAAACAAAAAAATCAAAAGAGTTGGCTTTCTTTGACTTTATTTTTTCAGAGTGCTACATAGACTAGTAGGGCTGCCTGAGTGCTATGAGCTACAATACTTTTTGAAGGAAAAAAAAAAAGGTAAAAGACAAAAAGGAAGAAAAAAAAAGATATTAATACTCATTTAGAGCTCTCTCTTTAGAGGTCTAAATCATTTTTGTTATTTTTTTGGTTTTTGAATTGAAAATGGTGGTAGCTCGAGAGTATACAGCGGCTCGAACGCTCCGACAGCAAAAGATTTTGGGCTTTTTTTTTTTTTTTTTTTTTCGTCTAGCTGGT